GCGGTAAACGCCTTCCGAGATACCGTAATGTGTCCAAGGTTCTTGAGCTGCTGGCCCAACCCCGGGGGATGAAGTGGTGTGTGTCTTCGGTTTGCTGCGTCCTCGCCCTCTGGCGGGACGGCCACCATCCCGGGCGGCTGCCAATTTGTCTCCTTCATCAGAAGAGGCAGCCTCGTTTGAAGGGTTGTTCGGCGTAGTTGCTGCGACCACGGCCACTTTTGGCCGATGCTGATCTCTGCCCTGGCTCGCAGCGGACGAACGGCCCAAACTCTTGGCTTCGTTGTTCGTCAGGATGATCTGCGAGGCTTTATCAAACAACTGCTCACTTGTGGTGAGCGTCTCCGCAACTTGCGTCAAGGCGTTCTGCAACGCCGGACAACTCCTCCTGTAAAGAAATGTTTGATGGCGACAAAGGTCGACGGCAAGTTGGGCGTGGACGCCAAGCGTTGGTACTCAGTTATCCAGTCCGTGCTTGGCAGGTCGTTTTGATAGAACAGTTGAAGTTTCTCGGTTGCCTGCAGCTCGAGCGGCTCCACTCGGAACCACTTATGCCATGCTGCCTTGAGATCAGCCCAACTGATCTTCGTATGCAGCTCGCAGACTGTGACCGTGTGCGTGGACAACATGTTGTCCAACCATGCTGGCACGCGCCCCCCGAGCGGGAGTATAAGTATGCATGCCGGTTCGGGTTGCTGACATGGTGAATGTCCTAATTCAACTCGAACTGGTGTCACCATGCAATCGGGTCCGTCTTCGCTGCATCGTAGAAGATCGGCAGGCCGTCGAACTTTGGGATGCTCTCGCTAGTAGTCGCGGTCGGACTGGCTGCGGCGGCACAAATCTGCTGGTCAATCCGTTGATTTGTCGCTAGAGCGCCGTCCTTGAGAGTCCCGACGTCGATTTCCAAGATGTTGACGCGGTCCATCAAGTTGGAGGGTCCGGCGGGGGTGGCTGTTGTAGGCTGCTGTTCCAGCCGGCGTACCTGGTCAAGCAATTCGTCGACAAGTCGAGCCTGCTTCCGGACCAGGGTGTCCACGCAGAGGATGTCCTCTTGCTGTGCTGCACAGGTGGCGACCAAGACGCTCACATGTTCGATTGTGGTTGCAAGGCCACGCACAGCAGGGGGGGCATCATCCTCTTCAGCAGCCACTGCCCATTCGCCGGCGATCACCTCGATGTCCCCCTCGGATTCGAGGATTTTGTCTCGGCGTAGTCGACGGCGTTCGTCTGCGGCCTTCCTTGCTGCCTTGGCATCCTTCTGTCGCTGTTGTTCAGCGAGGCGACGCTGTTCCTCTGCTTCCTCATCTTCCTTCTTACGTGCGGATGTTGCTGCCGCTGCCCGTTGCTTGAACTCTACTACCATGTCCAGCATGCGGGTCTCATAGGCCTCGATAGTCTCTCCCGGTTGTTGGTCCATGCCGCTTGTCTTTGAGCGAGTGAGCACCATGCACTGACGTGACCTGCTGCTGCGGTGATTGGTTGCTGACGTGGCACTGCCGATGTGTCCTGCCGACGTGGCAACTCACCAATGCCTCCTGCCTCCTGCTGAAGACTACCTCCTGCCTCCTAAACTGCACGTGAAGTGCTTGGGAAGTCCTTATGAACTACCTGCAGCCTGCAGGGTGGGTCAGTCTTATATAGTGCTGGCCCGTCTAGGAGGCTGCTCTTGCCAATGCCAAAACGTGCCAAACCCTGGCGTTGAAGCTCAAACAAAGGTTGTCTTGAAAACAGGCCCAAAATGGCCTGTGCTAAGACCCTGGTCTGGTGCCTGAGTTTCAGGGCAGGTCGATCTTATGAGGGCCTGAAAATGGCCCTCCGTTTCAGGCTGAAAAGACTCAGGGCCTGGAGGGCCCTGTTTTAGGCTGAACGATACAGGGCCTGTAGGCCCTTGTTTTCAGGCTTTCAGGCTGAAACGGCACACAGGGCCTGTAGGCCCTTGTTTTCAGGCTTTCAGGCTGAAAACGACACGGGTCTGAAAATGGCCCGCGCAGCCTGTTGCAGGCGCAGCATGTAACATCTGCCCACTTCGACTTCGAGCAATCTGCAGACCACCTCGCACAAGACGCTAGGGCAGCACTTCCGCATGGCTCAGGCAGGAATGAATGAACGGTTGGACGCTGCCTCTTGCTTTATACTTCTGTACGTCCCTGGTCTGCCCTTTTCCACCGGGCCCATGGTGCACACAGTCCCTCATGGTACTTGCGGACTGTACAAAGTGAGACTGGGACTGGGTACTGCTGACTAAGCGAAGTTGGACTCACCACTTGCCCACTTGCCTCTGGTCTGCTGTGAGTAACGTGAGAAAAACTCGAAAGGCCACTTCCGGACCTTCTGGAAGTCTGTGGACTTGGCCTTTCGGGACTGTAGCAGCTACGACCTTGACCTTTCCGAACTGTAGCAGCTACGACCTTGACCTTTCAGAATCGCTACGGCTACGGCCTCTACACAACTACGACCCTGTTACGATCCTGGTCATTCCCAAAGTGCAAATTCACAATGAAAGACAATGCCACCCAATTGCGAAAGAAATGAAAGCACTTGCAAAGGGATAGAGACCAAAGAAGAAGAAGAAGAAGAAGAAGAAGAAGAAGAAGAAGAAGAAGAAGAAGATGTACACCAGCAAGACCAATGACAAATCCCCCTTCTCTCTCCACCTTCCTCCTCCTCCTTCACTTCGCCAATCTTATTCTTCTTCCAATATTAATAATAACAATGAGTGGATGAACCAGAATCAATGTCTGAAGTTCCCTCTTACTGCTGACATCACAATAGGTACACCATAGCTATGGCTTCCCCCCTTCTACCACCTCTCACATGCCTGGCTATGGCAAACTACTGAGGGCTCTGCCCTCTTGTGCAAAGGACAACGCAAAGCAGCTATGTCGCTGCACTGCTGTCCACAGGACAACCCAAAGCAGCTATGCCGCTGCTGACTGAGCCGCCATGCCTGACTCGCCCCTCGAGCTTCCTTGGTGCGGCGCTACCCCAACTGGGGCCTTCCAGATGCAGCGCCCAATAAGGTGATGAAGATGGTGTCCACCATAGCCAGGTAGGTACCTCGCCACTCTCCTCCTTCGCCCCCTTCTTCCTCCTCCTCAGGCTGGGCTGCTCGCCATAGCCAGGCTGAGTGCCCAGCTGCTCGTCACCTCCAGGCAGCGCTGCCCAATTCCAGCACTTGGCTCCAGCAGCATGTCGCCAATCCTTGCATACCGCAAATGAGGAGGAGCTGCTTGTTCCTCCGGAAGATATAGCGGCCTACCGGCCTCTTGGGCGGTGACTTCCTAGGTCGAGCGGCCTCCCAGCAACCGGTACCTCCTCCCTTTCGGAGGGAAACATCATTTGCAGGCTCTGCTATCGTCCGGACAGACCCTAGACTCAGGCTACTTGGACTGGTACCGGCCCACCTCTAACCTGCCGCTACTGGGCCTCTAAAAATGCCAACTTTTTGTCTTCTTCTGCTCGGCCTCCAGTACCCAACACTTCTACCACTACTCGAGTGTTTTTCCCCGCTGCTCTAAGTGTCGCGGGCCTACCCCCGCTACTTGAGTGTTTTCCCCGCTGCAACCCTCAAAGTCAAGGCCACAGGTAAGTACCGGCCCTGTGGGGCCTTTCAACCAACAAGTACCCTTGCGGGTCACACACACACTCAGCCGACAAGCACTCAGACAGGCACACAAACCAGCAGGCACGCACACACACACAGACTTGGAAACCACAGCAGAATGCCGAAATCTCAGCAAGGCATTCATTCCAGCAGCAAATCCCAGAAATCAGCAGTGTTCTCAGTCTGTGTTTTGGCGGGTCATTACAACCCCTAGTCGACAGACCTACAGATCGAACCCCTATAGCTACACAGACCTACGACAGGTCACGGGTTCTACCAAAACACAGGTCACGGGTGAAACACACAGGGGTCGACTCGGTACTGTACACGGGTGTGGTAAGTTCTAGGGAGCGAGCCCTGGGATCTGCATCTGCTACTGCTAAGGTGAAAACCATTTCAATCCCTTCATAGCGTTCGGAGCAGAGGCTATGCCGTGTACATGCCAACCGAACTGCACTTGTGTGGCAACACAACGGGAGGGCACAGCTATCATCCTGTGGAGAGGTCCTTTCACTGTTTGTGGTAGAATCAGCCGGATTGCTCTCCGAGGGGTGCAGTGCTTGCAAGTGCTCATTGACATACTGTTCCTGATGGACGAGCCAGACTGAGTGATCCTCCAGCATTTGGTGATAGAAAGAGTTAATATTTCCCACTGTGTGCACCCTACCGCCATTGTCCCATAGGGTCCATGAATTATATGCAAAGGTAAGAGCACTGAAATGACCTGGACGATATAACATATATGCCCGAATATTTGGATCCCTGCCTGGCACGTGGTTTTGCGGAGCAGGCTGGAATTGCAGTCGCCTAGCCATAAATGTCATAGCCAGGACTTCTATGTCCACACCTGGCGCAGCACTGTTGTCCTCTGGGCAGACGGCACGGTGCTCTTTTCATATCCAGCGAACAACGTCTGCAAAATCAGAAACAGTATAAGGATTACAATTGTAAACAAGGAGACATACATTAATGGCAGAGTATGCAGAGCGCCCTCGCTGTAGCGCTATGACATTGTCTGATTCCGCAGGTTCCGTGGGGGATCCGTTCACGGCAGGGGGATCTTTGTTCGATTCTGCAGGTTGCACCGGTGGCGGAGAGCCGGTGACTCGTTGTGGTCTTGACCAATTGGCTCCGGTAAGTGCTCCGGAGAGGGATGATCTTCAACCGGGGGCTCCATCAGGTAATCAGGAGGCAGGTCATTGTCATTTGGGGCAGGGGAGCGAGCGGGACTAGGTGGATGAGAGAGGGGCGGGTCAGGTGAGTGAGAACCAGGTGGACCAGATGTGGGAATCGGAAGCTCGTGTCTGGTGCACTCGTAAGCCTGCAGC